AATGGCTACTTTTATATCTTGAATATGTCGTGGTTTCCACCAAAATCTTAGTAACCTCAAGGAGATGATCGGTGTTCATCAGCCAGTGGGCCTTGCACTACAGGAAACGATGCTAAAAGAAGAACAACATGCAAAGCTTCAGAGGTCAAATCAATCAAATCAGAGGAAAGATAATCCGAATGGTGAACGTGTCAGTGGAGGTGTCGGTGTTTCACTTCACTTGACTACCCATCAAGTACTGTTAATTTAGACACACGCCTCCAAGCTGTCGCTATACAAATTAATTTTAGTATTTTAATTTCAGTCTGTTCCATTTACTTGCCTCCGAATGAACACATCGATCAACAAGATTTGGATGATCTCATAGAGCAGCTACCTGAACCTTTTGTACTTCTAGGAGACTTCAATGCTCACAGCCCTTATTGGGGAAGTAAAGATCTTAATGCACGAGGTAGACAGATTGAAAAGCTAATTGAAGATCATTCAGTATGTTTGCTTAATAACGGTCAATCAACTTACTTCCATCAGCCAACTAGGACCTTTCACGCCATTGATCTTGCCATCTGTTCACCTTCACTCCTGCCACTGTGTTCTTTTAGTGTTGGAAACGACCCCTTAGATAGCGACCACTTTCCTGTAATTGTGTCGTTTACAGGGCTTGGAGACTCATGCATTCCGAGACCTGCCCGCTTCATTTTAGATAGAACGGACTGGGAACTTTTCTCGTCACTTTCGGAAATCAATGAGAAAATGGTGAACAATGTGCTCATCGATGAAGCAGTGGAGAATATTACACATACAATCATTCAGGCAGCTACGATTTCTATACCTCTCACATCTACAAGTCTCCGGAAATACTCAAAACCATGGTGGAACCGTGATTGTCAGGAAACACTGAGACAACGGAGAAAAGCTTGGGGAGTCTTTCGTAGATACCCCACTTTGTTAAATCTAATTGCCTTCAAGAAAGCCAAAGCAAACGCAAGACGGGTAAGACGGCAGAGCCAGAGGGATTCTTGGATCGCCTATGTGTCATCAATAACATCCTGTACTCCAAGCAAAAAAATCGGGAAAGAGTTAGAAAGGGATGTGGGATATACAAAGAACCATTCACTCTCTCTTCTGGAAAAAGATGGCCGGATGATTAGCAACACTGCCGAAATAGCAAATGCCATCGGTGATACCTTTGCTGCCATTTGCAGTGGTAGTAATTACCCACCAGCATTTCTTTCTTTTAAGCATCAGTCCGAGAAGTTACTCATCCGTTTCAATTCTGCCAACTTGGAACCCTATAATGATGATTTCAGCATCTTTGAGCTAAAGAGAGCTTTCTCCCATACTCATAAATCTAGTCCGGGTCCAGATGGTATAAGCTATGAAATGCTGAAGCATCTTTCCTTTAAGTCACTGAGTGCCCTTCTTGCTCTTTATAATCGAGTGTGGAAGGAGCACACCTTTCCCAGTGCCTGGAAGAAAGCTATAGTTATATTCATAGCAAAGCCAGGAAAAGATCCGAAAAATCCTTCCAACTACCGGCCGATAGCCCTTACCAGTTGTCTTTGCAAACTGTTTGAAAAAATGGTTAACCACCGTCTAGTATATTACCTTGAAAAAAAACAACATTATCTCCCCATATCAGAGTGGTTTCCGTAGAGGCAGAACTACCATCGACAATATGCTCCTTCTGGAAACCTCTATTCGTAAAGCCTTTGTCAGAAGAAACCACCTCGGTTTCTGTCTTCTTCGACATAGAAAAAGCTTACGATAAGACGTGGAGATACGGTACTTTTGCGTGACATACATCACTAGTGGCTTGCGAGGCAACCTGCCTATCTTTATCCAAAATTTCTTGAAGGCGAGGACCTTTCAAGTAAAAATTGGCTCGGTACTTTCTGATGTCTTTGTACAAGAAGAGGGTGTGCCTCAAGGCTGTGTTCTGAGTGTGACACTCTTCAGTTTAAAAATAAACTCTGTTCTAAAGGAACTTCCTGCAAGTGTCTCAGGCTCTTTATATGTTGACGATTTCCAGATAAGTTACCAAGGGGCAGATATGAGGTATGTGGAGAGACAATTGCAGATCGCTCTCAACAGGATACAGGCATGGTCCTCAAATCATGGATTTGCATTTTCAAAACAGAAGACTGCTTGTGTACATTTCTGTAGAAAACGAGGTGTCCATCCTGAGCCGGAGCTTTATATCAAAAGCTCACAAATTCCAGTCGTAGATGAAATAAAATTTTTAGGGTTGGTATTCGACCGAAGGCTGACTTTCCTTCCACACGTTCAATATTTGAGGAAGAAGTCTTTTAAGATACTAAATATATTAAAGGTGTTGGCGAAATACCACCTGGGTGCAGAACGTGGCTCAATGCTTCGCATTTACAGAGCACTTGTACGCTCTAGATTGGACTACTGTTCAGTTGTGTATGGATCAGCACGGCCTTCTGTTCTATTAAGACTAGATCCAGTTCACCATCAGGCATTGCGGATTTGTTCTGGAGCTTTCAGAACTTCTCCAGTTCAAAGCCTATATGTAGATTGCTTATGAACCTTCACTAAATTTAAGGCGTGAGCAGTTGTCTCTGTGCTACTATTTTAAGATATTATCACTACCTGACCATCCTTGTAAGGTGGATCTGTTGGATGATATGTGTGAGCGTCTGCTTAATGCTCGACCTTCTTGTGTTCCTTACTTTCTGCTGAGGATTCCCTCACTACTTGAAGAATATCAAATGATACAGTTGAGCACTGAGGCAGTAAAATATTTTGAAATACCACCTTGGGAAAATATTCAGTTTCAGGTCCTCGATATTTTTCAACATCTTTGCAAAAGAGAAACTAAAGTTGGTGTACAGGCAGCTTTTTCTTGAGCACAGGCAAAATTACAGTAGTTATATTCCAGTATTTACTGACGGATCAAAAGCAGCTGGACATGTTGGCATATCTTTTATTATTGGAGACCACATTGTAGGCAGACGTTTGCCTGACGCTTGCTCAGTTCTTACATCGGAATTGACTGCTATTTATTGTGCGCTCTCATGCATATCCACATTAAGTGAGAAAAAATTTGCAATATACACCGACTCGCTTAGTGCGTTAAAAGCCTTACAAGCATTTAGTGATGTCCAAAACCCTGGCCTAGTAGATATCGTCATTCTCGATCTAAAGTTAAGGCAGTGTGGTATGAGGTCTTGTACTGCTGGATACCCAGGCATGTAGGCAAAAGAGGTAATGAGCTAGCAGACGCAAAAGCAAAGTCGGCTATCGATATGCACAGTTGTGCTGCCCTCCTAATGATATCAGGAATGTGACCAAAAAGAAAATATTAGATAAATGGCAGAAACACTGGGATGGTCAAATAGATAATAAGTTAAGAAGTGTGAAAACTAGAATTGAATACTGGGATACTACTAGGAACCGGAAAGAGGAAGTTCTACTTACTCGACTTAGAATTGGTCACTCGGGAATTACGCACAACTATTTACTAAAAGCAGAGTGTGAACCAATTTGCTCCCACTGTGATGCAGTCATCTCAGTTCATCATCTTTTAGTTAAGTGTCCATATTTTAAAAGACTTCGGTTGAAACATTTTAAGGAATATGACTTGCCTCTTGACCGTTTAATTGGGAAAGAGGTGAATACTAATTTATTTCAATGCCTGGAAGTGTCAGGTTTTTATTATTTAATTTGATTTTGTTTTGATGTTGTATCTTATTATCTTAAGAATATCTATTTTAACATATTTCATGTTTTAGAATTTTACACCAGTACAAATCACCTGCATGATAAGGGAGTTCACCTTAGCATCCATAATTTTCAGCTTCTTTGTATTTTATGCATTTCCATGGTTTTAATCTTGTATGTTTTGTCTAAGCTAGTTTGTCTGTTTGGTCTAATGGCTGACATGTATTCGGCGCAGATAACCTTTGGAGTTTTGCACCAGTAAAACTTACTACTACTACTACTACTACTACTACTAAAGAAGCTTCACATTAAGTAGCAAGCTCCGTTTTAACTCTTCTTTATAGATAAAGAAATATGCGAGTGAAAAGCGTAAGTCCTCTGCCTCGACTGAAGTGCATATTTACATTTTATTTACAACACTGTTCAGTAAAAACGTGCACGTATGCCCGTTTTGCGGTATTACTGACAATGAACTGCAACTGAGTAAATATAGTAACTGCAACTGAGTAAATATAGTCTGGCAACGAGGTTAATTCCGAGCACAGAAACAAAAACTCAACTATTCTAGCCGACTACTATAATTAAATAATATAAATAATATCAATTTCTAACTTACTCAGAAATTGAAACATATCTATATTTTGACCATGTTGTGCATTTTATTTGATTTCTGATGGCATTTTCGTATTATAATAAATGCAATTAATTTTTACGTTTGAGTTAAAATAAAAATACATCGCTTCCCAACAGACAGCTGCTGCTTTAGTTCCCGGGTATACAACAATTAATAAATTATTTCGAGTTCGTGATTCTGGATTAAAAATTGTTTGCACGGGATTCAGGTTTTGAATATATTTTACTGCTTATCATCCATACTTTGCTTATAATTTTCTTATAATGATAATCACAAGAAGAAAACGTAATGTTTTGTAATTGTAAACGTGTGTTTTGGCTCTAACAAAAAATTATGGATGTCATACCATATGATCTATGTACAAAACGTTTATTGCCTCACGTGTGCCTGCATCATCAACTGTGCACGTGGCTGTTTAAACTACAGCCACCCAGAGAGCATAAAAATTACCATTAAAATCTTTGTACCTGAAAACAAAGTCGACTTTTAAACCACATTAAAATGATAAAGGTATAAAAAAATAAGGCAGATATTGCTTTTATGGCTGATTTGTAGTCTTTTTAATGATACTACATTTTTATGCGCGTATTTGTCTAAACGCTTTAGGTCTATAAGAATGGGAGGAATCTGGGAGAAAAACTGCAAAAGAATTTTATTAAAAGGTAGAAGGAACTCGAAAAATATCTCTTCGAACTCGCAATGCCAGTACCAGCCACTAAAATTAAAATACCTAAAAAGTTCCGGCCTGAAAGTAAGTGCTTATAAATCTTCTGTAAGACTATGTAGATGCTAAATGTTGTAAGGATTAACTGACTATAAGTAAGTTCAAATTTTCATTAAATAAGTAATTTAAAGTAGCGTAAAGCGTAAAAGTAATCCACAGGTGACGTTTCTAAGCAGCAATTTTAACATTTAAAAAATGCTTGGGATGCTGACACAAAAGTAATATTTGGATGACTAAAATCCTTTGTGCAACACGGCAAACTTCAAAAAACGGGTTCTTAAACTTGTGTTTATCGAGCTAGGTTTTATAAGCATGAAAATCGGCTGCATTTTTTAACTTTTTGCTCTCTTGCTTTTATTTAAATTTATAATCATTTTTTTGTTATTAGAACTCAAGGTAAAAATATTAAGAAAAGTAATTATGATTCAATATGATGGATGCAAAAGTTTTAGTATAAATACTTAAAGTAATCTGGAAAATTTTGAAACCAAGTCTTCCTTAAGTTGGACTGTAAAACTCTTTAATTAACATCAAGTATTAAAAATTATGCACAGATTAAAAGAAGTAATTTTTACTGACCAAGAATATTAAAAGAATTGAAAGAAATAGCATTCATTAGATATTTACGGGGATCCAAAAACGTATTGGGGTATAAGAAATTTTCAGACTTTCAGCTATAAAAATAATAGCTGTTTTGGTCGTAGTCATATACTTCCAACTACAGAAGTATTTTAAATGACAAAAATATTCACGTTTGGGCAAAATCAAATTAAAAAAAATTAATTTTTGACAATTAACGAAATTTAACTACATGTATAATAACAGTTATATACGTATTTTGTCTAACAATAAATATCTAATAATATTTAATATCAGTTTATTGTTGTTCTAAAAAGAATATTTAATAGGCTTACAAGGAAGTGATGTGATGTCCACATCCGATTTTTTTCCACAGTTATTAAATTTCATAAATTTTTCATTTGAATATTTTTTATTTTTGTTGAGTTAGAAAAATGGTAATTGCAAATTTACTTTTGTGTCAACACTCTAATTTCGGAGATTAGCATCTGGTATAACTAAATTCGTAAATCTTTTATTTTACATTTTATCATAACTCTTGAGTTACTAAGAATGAAACGTTCAATGCTGTTCACATTCATCCATATCAAATTCAGTGATAATTTTTTCTCTTAAAACATCAATCGACAGTCTATTAAAATATATTTGTTGCCTCCAGCATGCCACCAGTTATACACTACCAATTTTTCAAGTTAAATCCTCGGGTACTTCAAATAATGTTTGAGAAATATTTTATTTTTAATGTGAGAAAAGTTTCATTCTTTCTCATAGTTTTCGATTAAGCAGCCGTATTTTCTAGTTAGCATATTTCTTCTGCATTACAAAATAATTTTGCTCTTAAAATCTGTTTGAAGTTTTACTTTTGAAACAGGATTGCTATTAATAGACTATAAGGATTAACTTGAAATTTTCACTGAAGTTTCAAAAGGTATATTTATTACAACTTGCATGAATGGAAGTCTTTAGCATTCCTAGACAATGCCAACCAAAATTATTTTAAAGGCATATTTTTCCAAACCAAGGGTTGAAACTAACTTTGAAGGATTATTGTTAATAAATAATAACTTAATAAAAGGGTGAAACCGTATAGTTGCGAATAATTAGACAGTTCCATTTATCACATATAACAGAAATTCGATTAAATATGGCAGAATGTTTTTACAGCAATCTTTGAACCACATTGCATTTTGTAATCGATTTACATTAGCCGTGTATGTTAGCATAGATTGCATTAGTAACTGGTACATTAGCAATATTTACATTAACATCGATTTTACATTTGTAACTGGTAGATACTATGTGACTGTGCATTTCTTAATGCCAGTTCTTACTAACTGAATGTTGCTGTACAACTTTATAATTAAACTTTTCTTTCAGTTTGCTTCATTTCAGAATTAGATCCGAAACTTTTCTAATTTTCTTTTAAGAGCGCTGGGATCTCTTTTATAAGACAGGGCATGACCTGTTTACTAGAATACATATTGCTATGAAATGCCCAGCTGCGGTAAGATAGCATCCTCGCTATGCGAGTTTAGGGTTGCCAGAAAGTGGCAAGAAAAGGCAGGGTTGCCAGATTTTGTGCGAAATCGCCCATTTGCCGACAGAATCGGCGATATGCCATAGATGGAGCGAAAACATTCTAAAAAAAATTCTTACAGGTTTTTTCCAAGACTGTATATATATACCCTGCCTGTACGCGGAGTAGAGTATGTTGAGTTCAGAGATTAGCTCGCGAGCGATCAACTGAGTGGAAAGCTGTACTTTAGTGCTTTGCCGTCGTGAAGCTGTCTTCACCATTTTAGCCTGGTAGCCTGAAGGCTGTTGCTGATTGTTTCAGCGTGTTTATCGTAGTTTTTCGACGGCTGTAAACGTGTCTTTGGAACTGTCCAGTGTGATACTGACGAATAAACTGTGTTTTGATTCTTATTCAAGTGTTGTCATCAGTCACTCCAAATCCACGAACCCTTAGAATGCAACAATATTAACCACCATGTAGCTAATTATTTCTAAGTTTGTAGTTTAATTGCATGAAGTGAATTAATATTTCACTTCACCTTCTAATCGATCAATGACAGAAAATTTTTAAGCAAACTTAGCTACCGATATAATAATGAAACTATTGAATTAATATAATATAAATTGCTAATGGAAAAGAAACAAATGCCTCAGACTAATCACTAAAAATTGTGAAAATGTTATTTACTTAAAATAAATAAGGATGCATAATGTAGTCCTTTTTATTGTAACGTTTCGAGCAAATATGATTCTCATTGTTCCACGTTTGCATTTTATTGCTATTACGATGCTAAAACTATTATGTATTTACAGGAGATCCAAAATGCTACTTCCCAAGACGATATATCATAACCTTGTTGTCATTCTTTGGAATGTTCAACGTGTACGCGATGAGGGTCAACCTCAGCGTGGCTATGGTTGCCATGATTAATAGCACAGTAGACGCTTCTGAAAATACTACAAGATACACTGCAGAATGCCCATTACTGATACACGAAGACACTCAAGATGAAAATGAGGGCTTCAAAGTAAGTGAAACAACTAAAGCTCACTACGAGAATATTTTCAGCCCTTTTAAAAGCTGTTTTAAATTGAAACCAAATTTCTAATGAACTAAATGCTTGCGCGAATATCCGTTTAAAATAATTATTATAAAAAAGGAAAACTATGTGACGATTTTAATGAATCCAACTACCATAATTTGATAAAAATGCACTCGTATGCAAATTAGGAGAATTTGCACATTATGTTGAGTTTCGGAAAACCTAATTGACAGATTTTAATGAAATTTGCCTGAATACTAGTCTATACAAGAAACAGATGTACCGTTCTAAAATCCTTTTATGTACGCATGATTATCAATAACACACATAGTGGACGGATGCCCGAAATCCGCACTGTGATATTGAAATGAAAATTAGTTTAATGAGGAGTATGGTTTCCTTTCACAGCCAGACAGGTCACGAAGCTTGACGGCATTCTGAACAGGAGGCAGTTCAGGATTTCCTGTAGCAGTCCATCCCGTTCCTGCAGCAGAGCAGTTTTCAACTCCAGGATGGTTCTCGGAGGGATGTGTCGAGATGAAATTGCCCTCCCAAGAGCATCCCAGATATTTTCTACAGAGTTGAGGGCAGGAGATCTGGCTGACCATTCCATGCAGCAACTATCTTCATTTTACATGTAATAGCAGACTAGCTGAGCCCAATGTGGACGAGCGTTGTCTTCCATTAACAGGAACCCAACAACTAACTGCACCTCTAAAACGTTGAACATAAGGATCTAAGTTATCTTCTCTATACCTCATAACAATCAGGGAGATTTTATCGAATACATTCAGGGTGTGCGGCAGTCCAACATAATTCCTGCCCAAACATTACACCTCCACCACCGTAATGATCCTTTCCCTGATGAGGGTCCCGGCTTATCTATAAAACGTACAGTGCGCCACTAAGGTTTGGTACATGGTGCATGATGTTTGCACAATTCTAAACGCATTCTCTTGTATGCTACAGTGAGTGTGACCTAAACAGCAGGTCTTTTGGCGTACAGCCTTATCTCATGATGCCTTCAGGCAACTGTAGATCGTGAAACTTGGGTTCCACTAGCAGCATACAGTTTACCTGAACCTGTGAAACTGTAGCTGTCCTGTGTCGCCGCGCTGAAAGTGCCAAATAACTATCCTCATTCGTCACTGTGGATCTTGTTGGACTTTGTTCTCGATATTGATCCTGTGTCCTGAAAATGTTTCCAGAAACTGCAGATGACACTGGGCGTTACAATTAGCTCTATAGCCACCTGTGCTAATGATTGGCCTACCTCCATTCTACGATAGATGTTATCTCATTCCGTCATCCGTACGCTCGTGGTTACTCATTTTACTTTAATACATTATAAAACTTTCCCTACTCTTGTTAGAAACACGGCGAATGTAGTGAAAGAAGACGAGCACCCAATCCGCCGAAAACCGCTCGTTCGCTCCACAATTACTGCTCCGCAGATGCACACGAGTGGTTACGTATTCGACTCTGAATATTTGCATAATTCTTCCGCGACATTATTAGCACCTTTGGGTTCAATTCCGTTTTGTAAAAATAGACATAATTTGAAAATTCTGTTAGTTTTCCACAAGAGTATATTTTTCAGATTGTACAATTGGCTCATTCCAAATGGTTATATATTTCCCCTTTTTATACTAATTATTTTAGATATAAAAAACGGTTTTCATAAAATACTTTTTTATTTAATTAAAGAAATTAAAGTTCTAGGCATTGAAAATGCTGAAACATCTCTAATGAAAGCATTTCCTAAGTTTCACACCTTCGATTATTTTAGGAAATTATATTATTTCGATTATTTCATTTAATTGATCAGGGAATCTGATTCTACCTTGTATCAAATTTCAGTTGCAGAATTTTCCATTTTACTATGTAATTTTCAGGCAGAAATATATGAAATATACAGGTATTCCTTATATTATAAAATGATATATTAATCACGCATACAGATGTTAAGAAAAATACATACATATTTGTATACTTATATATTAGTTATTAATTAGAAATCGAAATGTAAAGATATATGAGCATGTTTTCATATGAAAATTTTTATCATAATTACTCAGACTTTATCTTGAGTCTAAATGTTTTTCTGCAAACAAAGAACATAAATTTGTTCAAATGATTATAGCTTAAGACTGTCTTTATATTTCAGGGTGAACAATATCACTGGGATTCGAAAACACAAGGTATGATCCTCGGTGCTTTCTTTTACGGTTATGTTATAACTCAGATTCCCGGAGGTATGATGTCAGAAAAAGTTGGTGCAAAATGGATTTATGGAGGAGGAGTCCTAATTACAGCAATCTTCTCATTACTTACACCCCTCGCAGCTAGCTGGGGTATAGGGACTTTTGTTACTGTTAGAGTCTTGGAAGGACTTGGAGAGGTAATGTACTAACTTTATTACCGATATTTTATAAAGATATTTTGTGAAGGATTGTCTTAAGCTGTTAAGCAATTTATATTAAGCTGACATAAAAGCAATGCAAGATCGAATTAGATAACCTTAAATGGGAGAAGGGTACAAGCGGCCGAGCGATAAAAGCCGCTAAACACTGGTAGTTCGGTTCGGGGCTCGTGTTCCGACGAGAACGGGTAGATTGCATGGGCGTTTTCGCGGTTTTCTCCATGTGTAACTTGGATACCAGCCAGTTTCTCTTAAAGTGTCTTCCACCGAGTATCCTTCTCTTTCTGTGTTGTGCTTAATGGAGAAGAATATAATAAATAAAAAAGGAGGGGGGGAGATATTGTCACATAAATTTAATTATTAATATCATATCCATCCCTTTCTATGACTTTTCCCATCTTTCAGCCACTTTTTCAATGCTTTTTGAAGAAATCTTTTGTTATTGTGGCAAAATATTCATTTATCAAATTTTTTAAATACATTTGTAAGTACATTTTGAAATTATGTATTATGGGGGTCATAATAAACAGGAAAAACAACAGCGCCAGTAAAAAATGTTGTAGTGCCTCAAACTAGTAAAAAAAAGAACGTGCTAATGAATGACATCAGAGCTCCTGGTTGATGTTGCTTTTTTATTGTTTAATATCTAGTTATCTAAGAAAATGACAGACGTCTGCATTAATGGTTTAGTTCTTTTCTATCAGGTCATAGTAAATCATACCTTCCATACTTCCATACCCCATCTTATGCAGAACAAAATATGCATTGGATGTAGTCTTGGTTTTCTAGTAAAACCTGGTTTCTCTTTTGAGCTTAACCACTGTCCTCTTCTAGTAGCAACATCCAAAAGAATTTTTTTTCAACTTTAGTCAGTGGTACCTTTCCACTCATTTTTTATGAAGAGAGAAGTGAAAATCGATACTGTGCAATTTAGCTGTGCATTCATTCGCAGTTAGCAATAGAAAGCTCAACTCGATAAAATTTTATGATTCATTTCAAGGGATCTGTTTCTGTTCATCGTGCACAGGCGAGGTCCCTCCGTTATTCATTTACTCCCGATACCTAAGTTTGACTCTATCAGAATCTTCTACTCACCATTATTCAATCTTCGTCATCATCATTTATCACATTTACATCATCCCTCGGTTTGCAGTTTCTACACTCGATTTAATAAATATTAAAATTTCCCCTTAGTTATTTTTTATTTCCCTTTGGCATTGGCATTCACTAACAGTATCTGCGTATGTTGAAAACTTTTCCGGTGCGTCCTCCATACCATTCCGTGCAGGTGAAACTTATAAAGCATGTTATGCAGTACCTGTAACTTATTCTCTCATCATTTGCCTAAGAATAAAATTAATTAAATATTAATTCAGTGGTCAGAAGAAAGAGCAAAATGTCTAGATCATAATAATTTGTAAAACTTTCGATTGCAGAATTCTTTTAGTATTCTTCTCTGCATTTAAATTTCGTAAGACAAAACCCAGAATTACTTTACGACCAACCCGATGTTAAAAAATTCATCATATTCAAGTAAAGTTCTAAATCAGGAAGCAACTTGCAAAATTAACAGTTATCTGTAGTTTAAAAATCAAAGCAACTTAATAGTTGATTAAATTTGAGCTAAATTACTGCCATATGAATAATTTTATTAGAGAAACGTTTATATTACTCAATAATGAAATTAAAAACTACGTCATGATAATGACCGAAATGTTTTCTTTCTGTAAATGTTTTCTTCAAACCTAAATGCTTTTATAAAGCATGCCTTCGCTTGTTTAATACCCATATTACATTAAACAAGCTTTACCTTAGATACATGCAGTAACATTTTTAAGTCTTACCCAAATATTTGCTTTGTATATTTCTTCGATTTGTTATTTCAACAGCATATTACACATATCATGTTTTATATGCTGAAATATTAGCTCATCAAAGAAAAAAATCACATAGTTATATGGATAAGTCTTAAAAGTTGACATCATGTGGAAAGTTTACGTATCAAAACCGCATAACGTAACTTGAATATCAGAACCGAATGCATACTGAAAACAAGCAAATGATAGAAAAACAAGATTTTTAACTTCTGTGTGAAAATAAGTATGTGTATTAATACTATTAAGTGTATCATTTTTCTCAATGAGAGGTAACCATGATAAAACATTTCCCAATCGTGGTTATATTTATAAACTAATCTATGTGATATAGAGGTGATATATAGTAATCTAAATTGAACAGTCTAGTAGTTTTCAGATAATAACTCCAAGCCTAAATCGATGAAATGTCTTCAAAAGTCACAAAATACTGTTGTCAACGTTTATAATTCAAGATCGTCAAATACCTGATTCCATTCATAACAGAACTCTTAACGAAAGATGCAATATACATGACATTTTAATTATCATATAAAACTTGTGTACATATATATAGTAAATATTTATAACAAGTTCTGTAATTTCATGTTAGTATTTTAAACTGTTCGGTATCTACATATTCATAAATGTAATGCATTCATCCAATAACAGCGGCTACGAGGTAAAGTCGCTGAACATTTGTAATTCGGTCCCAGAGAACAAGCAGGACGCATAGGCGGTTTCGGGTTTTTCCCCGTGCATAACACATATACAAGCGAATTTTCCTTAGAAAACCCTCCACGAAGGCATCACTCTCATCAAGCAGATAGCGCTCGAATGCTTTCTGTAGTCGCAAAAACCAAACCACCCCATAATGATTACTGGTTTTTATTATTATTTTTTATTTATATGACACTCTGTTTTGCTCGTCGATATTGCGAGATTTTATTATTCCACGCTCTATAAAAGTCTTAATTTATCTTATTATCTTATTATATTTTTATTTAAGAAGCTATAACTATTTTTATACAAAATAAGTTTAAACATCATCTCATTGTCATTGCATACATACTTCTCAGAGTCAAGAAAATGTTAGTAACTGTTATGTTAGTAAATGTTAGTAATGTAGTAAAGTTTAAAGCACAAAGAAAATCATATAAAAAGATATTGGAGCAGACAATTAAACGTATGATGATTAGTGTAATATTTAAGTAAAAGTAATCGTGGAATTATCACTGTCTGAAGTTAAAGCATCGTTAATGTAGCTAACTTTTGCAACAGAAATTGTATTAGCACACACACACACACACTTAGGTTGAAGTGTTGAATCTATGAAGGAGAAATGATGAGGCTGAAAGCAGATTTCACCATGCCCGCAATGGAGAAGTAGAAGCTATTTCATTCATAAGATTCCTGCGCAGGAAATTTTTAGAAGTTCCTAAGCAATTATAACTGAGGAAAAAACTCGTACAAGCAATAATTTTGACTCTTTAGTATAATCAGAGCAATTTCATTCATTTTCCATCGGTTATTTATGGAGACTTTATTCTTCGAAATTTTTTTATTTGTTTACCATTAAACTGCATAAAGTTATTTCCCTCTATTACCATGCAGGATTATTTTTCCGAAAGAGTTTTAAAAATGGCAAACGTTCTTTTATGAAGATGAGTTTTTGAGATCAATTTATAACTTCACTGAAGTGACATGCTGCAGTACACACTTTTAATTAACGTACAATTAATATTTATATCTGCATTCTTTGTAAACCATTGTAAAAGACACAGTTATATCCTAGCTGTTTTTCTGAGGTACATTTATTTACATTTGATCTCTTTTATTCTCAGGGAGTTACGTTCCCATCAATGAATACCATCATAAGTAATTGGGCTCCAAAGCTCGAACGAAGCAGAATTTCTACTTTCATTCACACTGGAGCACAAATGGGGAACGTCATTTCCATGCCTGTTTCTGGATGGCTGAGTAGCTCCGACTTGCTTGGTGGATGGCCGTCAGTATTCTATGTTTTTGGTATGAATGTGTTATGTTATATGCTATGTTTAATACGATATATTCTATGTTTGAATATATTATACCAAACGTATTATGTTCTGTTGCATTCGATGTTTGACTAAAGAAATGTAAGTCCGTAATCATAAAGATATTGGAATGATTCATTTAATTTGCAAGACAGATGGAACTCCAGATGTCAAGATACGATTATAGATCCTGTCAAGATTGACCTATTTTCCTTATACCAAATAAGTATTTGTTATAGTTCAAATGGAATTATTTTATATTTTAATTTTCTGTACTTTATTTCAACAAATATTGGGTCATATAAAAAGTCTCCGCGCTTTTCTGCCACTAGATGGTATTGATGCCTATATATCAGGCAGCACTCACCCGATTGTCTCATGTCCCGATTGTCGAACATGTGCTTAAAAGGTGACATTCAGCTCCCATTGTTTGTGAAGATAGCTTTCTAATTTGTTGCTCGTGTCAAAAGTTATATTGATTTGAAAATGAGTGAAATATCTGAAGAAATATGGTGTGTGATGCGTTTTTACTATAAAAAGGTAAAAACGCTTCAAAAACATGCCGAACATTTTATGAAGTGTACGGTGAGAAGGCTCTGAGTGAACGAAGGACCCAGCAGTGGTTTGCTTGATTCCATTCCTGAAATTTCGATCTCGAGATTGGAAGGGAATGACCATTATGAGCTGCTGCAACCTGGCGAAACCATCAGTTCGACCCTGCACAAGTCGACCGTCTGAACGAAGCAGTACAGAAAGGGCGACGAGACTTGGCCAACAGAAAGGGAGTTGTGTTCCATCATGGCAATGCGCGGCTGTACACATTTTTGATGAATCGGAATAAATTGACGGAACTTTGTTGGGAAGTTTTGATGCATCGACCGTATAGCCCGGACTTTGCACCATCTGACTATCATTTGTTTCTGTCTTTGTAAAACTCTCTTGATGATAAAAAAATTGGCCGATCGAAGCATGGCTGAAAATCATTTGGTCAAGTTCGGTCAAGTCGAAGATAAACCACAGAAGTTCTACACCGATGGAATTATTAAGCTACCTGAAAAAATGGGCAAAGATCATAGATAATAATGGTCAATATGTAACTGATTAAAACTGACTTTCAATAAAGAAAATTTTAGTTCAAAAATGTACCAAAAAAGCGTGGAGACTTTTTATATGACCCAATATTTACTGTCAAAATAAAATATTTCTATTTCTTTAAAACAAAATGCAAAATACTCTGTCTTCGACCCTATTAAGCAATAAAATCGTTTTTATTTGCGTAAACACACAGCTTATTTTTATTTACACTAAATAAAACAAGGGAATTAATTTTAACTCAAGCAAGCCTTGAAAATTAAACTCACAGTCTTTTTAATTTTTAACGTATTAACTGACTGCTATTATGTTCCACATTACAGACAAAACATTCCTTGCTTCAAGAAGGAATCGAGAGAACGGCATCATGTTTTTAATTTGTTCTTGAAAAGAGAACATTTATTGCAACTAAAAAATTATCATTGGTGTGGCAAAAGAGTAGTCCCATTTATTGTATGCAATTGAAATAAACCGTTGATATTTATTGGCTAATATTTGATGAAGTTAAATAAAGATTAATAATGTTTATAGTAAATAAAAAGGCTAATTCACATGCCACTCACATTAATATTAATCGATTTAATAGCTTCGTAAAATATGTGTTCTGCAGTAATACCATTTTGTATACTATCAACAGGAAAAGAAATACAAATTACTATAGGGAATTAAAAATAAGCTTAATTTTGCTTTAGTTCAAAAGAATAACAACGATCCATTTTCTCGGATTTCTATTGTAGTTTCAAGGAATTCTTCAAAGATTCTTTAAAATGGTTAAAGAGTATAGTACCGATATAGATCATATGCGGTGGGATACCAGGTTTGTCAAGATGTCTGAAATCTGATTACTCAAAAAAGATCTTATTAACTCTTATTTGAGATCAAAATAATAAAAATACAAAGAAAGTTGACGTATTTGTTAAAACTTTGGAGGCAAGATGTCATCCTTTCGTAGATCTTAAAGAAAATCTACAAGAAACGTAAGATCGTATAGTCTTGAGAACTTCACGTAGATTTAGTGATGGAGGACTAATATTTGTCAGGAAAGAAAGATTACGACATCTTCCAGTCGAAAGTTTTCAAGTTAAATTTATAAAACTGTTACTTTACGTGTTCAAAGTTGTTTTAAAATCCTTTTCAATTTTCTTAATTAGAATTAAAGTTATTAGATTTTAAGATAAATTAATTATTTAACTACAGCCTATTCCACGAGGTTAATCTGAGCCATATTACATGATTTTTTAAAATACACTCAAATACAAATTAACCGTATTGCGGATTAACAAGGCTCTATCTGAAAAAGAAAAAATATTAATTTCTTTATTGCGGATTGTGAAAAAATTACTACCAGGGACCTCGAGTACAAAACAAAACTATCCAAGAAAAATACAAAAACAAAAAGAAAATTTCGTAGAATAACAGTGGCGATAGACATACCAGCTCGCTATTCATCAAATCTTTTTCTGTTATAATATTTAATTTAAAGGGAATTTTTTTAAAGTTTATTTCCATCCAAACTGGATAAGGCTGAGAATGCATTGTTTTGTTTCCGTATTAGAATAATTTCATAAATAACAAGGGAATATCTTCCAAGATTTTATTTTATTTTGATTTTGATCAACAAGATCGCTTCGAAATTTTAAATAAATACGAGTGTAAAATAAAAAAGTTACGGATATAAGAAATAAAACTGCAAATGTTATAAACAGGAAATAGAGCCGTTTTGGTTGTATATAAAATGTCCATCACACTTCAAAATTTTCTACAAATTATTTTACTGTAATTACGTTTAATTTCCGTCTTTCTAAAAAATCTGATAACAGGTACCCTTGGCTGTCTGTGGTTCCTTCTGTGGAGCATTCTTGTTTACGAAACTCCAAAAAATCATCCTAGCATTTCAAGCAGAGAGTTGCAACACATCCAAAAAAACAAAGATGACAAACCACAAAAGGTATGACTTCATGATTTGGAATAGCATTTTGTAAACCTTATTATAAGTAGTGATCTTCGTTTTCTAATTCATGCAATTATTGGTAGAAAAAATATTTTTTCTGTTCGTAATACGTTTCGAGAAGGAAAGTTTCGGAGGGTAACAATTTAAATTCATTTCAATCCGAGTCTACCTCTTCTGTAATTCTGATTAGCCTATAATTGCCTTGACAGTAATTAAAGATATAAACACATATAAGTGTCTCAAGAATAGAACTGATTAATGTCTAAACATTTACTGGTACAATTTTTCATAGTTATTAAGTAAAATTAAATTGCAGCTTAAATACGACTGCTCACACAACAAGCTACATAAAAATTTAATCGTCGTTCAAAAACTTTTCAGTTAAGCTCTTAACCTGAAATAGTTAACCTGAAATGAAGTTAGTAAGGTATTTCTCCCGCTTTCCTAGCTTGCCTTCGTGGTGTAGTGGTTCTGCACGCTGAGCCGGTATTCCAGACGTCCGTGGCTCGATTCCCGACGAAGGCGTTGCTAATTTTTCAATCTCTCTTGCTTGAAAAAAAAATCCTAATGCCTCTACAATGGCGCCCGAACTAAAAGGGTTGTGGATGATGACTCGTCACACCCAGGATTTGGCTACTAGGTCCCCTAAAACCCTAGTCGCCCTTTAAAAAGGGGAATATATAAGGTATTTCTCCCGCTTCTCTAGCGTGCCTTCGTGGTGTAGTGGTTCTGCACGCTGAGCCAGTATTATTTCAGAGGTCCGTGGTTCGATTCCCGGCGAAGGCAGTTGCATATTTTTCGTCTTTCCGGCTTTTTCAATTAACCTACTGTCTCTACTAAGTCAGAAAAGAAAACCGTGTTTCATCATGTTCTGAGAAATTTATTACATATTGTACATTAGAAAATTAAATACTTTATTCGACTCTGAACAAAAATTACATTTCTTAAAATGATCATTTTTGAGTAGAGAACTATTTCATGTCTTCTCATAAATGTTCTAAAGATAAGTAAATTCAGCTGGAATTATCAATAATTACTACAGTAATCAATTTTGAGTAAAAAACTATTTCACGTTTCCTCATAAATATTCTAAAGGTATTTAAATTCAGCTGGAATTACAGATTACTCGAGAAAGAAGGAGATACACATATTTGTACTGTATATACAGTGAAATACGTTTAATGCGAAAACGCTTAAGACGAAATATCGGTCAACACGAAATAATACAGCGGTCCCGACAAAGTACTATGTATTTTCATGCATTTTGTTTCGTTTAACACGAAACGCAAATCGCTTAACACGGAAAGACTTCCCTTCTGGGAATGAACAAAATGCGGAAAACACCAGGCGCGCAGGCGAGATTTAAGAGAGTTGTGAAATGAAAGATATGTTATTTCGGAGTAAGCTAACCTTCTTGTTCTATCATTGCCTACAAGTTCATATAATTGTTATTTAATTGCTGCTACGTTTTACTACTGATTCTCCATGAATGCTCCGCATTCAAAATTTCTCCTCAGATTATGCTAGCACATACAGAGATATGCTCAAAATTATTTCACTGCAACTACAGATAGGGTGGGGCGACGTCTAGGAACCTGCTATTGTCACCTGATCTGGTTAACTTGGCTTTGAAATACCCTCGAAATAGCCTGTGACACGAGTCAATTTTGTTTATCTAAGGTACTTTCTCCCTCCACCCCTACAAACGCCGCACAGAAACATCTCATTTCTCATCAGTTGGCTTTGGAATTCAGTGATGCATGAAATGTTTGAGAAAGTTTCTGTATTATTGGACTTTCCTACTGTATCATCGGAAGAATTCGTTGCAGTGTAAGGATCTTAAGTTTTACTAACGTTTATTTTATTTTAAATCTTTACTATCACTTCTTATTTTCTACTTCCGGCCAGAATTAAAAGCTTTAACTTATTTATGCAAATTTGTCTGGCGAACGCCAAGTACTTAAGTTGTGGCTTTTTGCCAAGCGAGAGAGAGGAAGGAGTTAGTCGAAGCAGGCCGCTTACCTTAGCAGTTTTACTCGGTTGCTGGTTGCCTTCCAGGCCAGAGGTTTAATCCTCGTGATAATTTTAAACGTATTGTAGTGTTAACAGTTCTCTGTACTACATACGGCTTCCTGTTAATATACGGCCAATCTTCCACGTAGGCCCTTGTTTATTATTCCAAAGTTAAGTTAAATATTTTTATATTCTTACGTTCAGACCACAAGTAGTTGGTCTCTGTATTCCGAAGTACGGAAATTATTGTAAAGAGTGAAAAATAAAGGGTTTCGTATACCCTTCCTGTGTATCTTGTCTACTTCCCACATTTATTGAACATAGCTTTAGTAAGCTCCCTGTTCCGAGTCAGGGTCTTTGCATGTTCCCAAAGAAAGTAAGGCGGAACATTGAACCTGATAGTGGCGCCCAACGAAGAAGAATAACCATGGCCGAGTTTCAAGAAGAACCTGTGCTGCCTGCAGAAGCGGCTCAGAATCCAGAAATGCCAGCTGCCGCCCTGGAAGGATTTGGTTACATCGTCCAGACCATGCGCGCTTCGATGAAACCAGAAGCAACATTTAATGGAAACTCACCGGTTACCAGTTTTTTGGAAAAACTAGATGACCACTTCATGCTCTACCCCGTGCACGAGTTTCAGAAAGTTACCTTAGCTACCAGCGCTTTGAGGGGCCAAGCGCTTAATTGGTTCAAATGTATAGGCAGAAGTCTCTTTGGTCAAGCAGGAAGTCCCACCTATACTTACGAAAATTTCAAGACTGCCCTAGTAAAAGCCTTCCCTGTCGTAAGGGATCGTGCGAAATTAGAAACGGAACTTTTCAGCATATATCAGCAAAGAATCGAAAATCTTTCCATCTTTATTTTAAGAAAAATTCACGTCTTCAAACTCTTGTATGGAAACTGTCCGGATCCTGAGATAATTCAAGTGATTTTGCCGAGGTTACTTCCCCAAGTACAAGACTTTATTGAATTAAGGAATCCGACTACACTGGAAAAGTTATTTGAGCTAGCAATCCAGTTTGAAAGTAGAAGAACGGCGGACATTGAAAGAAGACGCCAATATCAACAACGAAACCAATTTGGTGAGCCAAGACCACAGCAAATTCAAGCACACGGAAGCAAAGCGAATCAGTGGGCAAGGAAACCCGAGCATTCAAAAACAGCCGGCGAACGTCGACAGTTCAATAGCAATCCAGGAAAAAAGTCTCAAGGCCAGTGGAAAAAGAAGGAAAGCGTGGAAATGAAAAATGATTTAAACTAAAACGGATTTCTGCTGACGGGAGGGTGCGGAAATCCGAAGGCCAAGAAAACCCCTCTTCCTTCAAGTTAAATACAGTAATGGTGAAAAATTTGACTCTTCCGAAGATTGAAGTGTTGGTGAATAATATCCCAGCCACCGCACTCCTGGATACAGGCGCGCAGTGTTCCTGTGTGGCAGAAGATTTTTTTAGGAAGTATTTTCGTAAATATCGCCAATATAATTCGGATAATACGACAGTGTTAGCTGCGCAATCAGAAAGATGTAAGTGCATAGGTAAATTACCGCTATACGTCCGTATCAAAGAGGAACAAGTAAAGGTTATGTTTTTTATAGTAAAGAATCTGCAAGCACATATTATCTTAGGAATAGATTTTCTTTCAGAGGCAGAAGCAACGCTGGATTTTAATGAAGCGTCCCTTAAGCTGACGATGAAACCAGTTCGAGAAGAAAAAATCGGAACCGCCGCCATGTTAAACCTTGACCACCTGCCTAATGGAAGAGCAACAAAAGAATCCGACAAGTGGTAAGTGAATTTGCTTCGTTATTTAGTGATATTCCAGGATTTACTCAAGTTACTAACCATAGTATCGACACCGGAGATTCAATGCCAGTTCGCCACAAAGCATACCGGTATGATAAGAATAAAGAAAAAATTATAGAATGGCACATTAGCGATATGCTTACGTAAAAAGATCATAACGCCCATCTCAAGTAGTTATGCTAGCCCGGTGGTTTTTATGTAAGAAAATAATGACTATCCATCCATTAACACATCCAAAAAGGTGGCGTTTCGCGATTGACTATCGTAAATTAAACTCCATAACTAAATATCCGGTATATATCCGTTACCTATTATTGAAGAAATTCTAAGGAACATAACGTCTACCAAATATATGACGACTTTAGACTTAACGACTGGTTATTTTCAAATAGGGGTTAGACCTGGAGGACGTGCCTAAGACTGCTTTTATAACCAAGTCTGGCACTTATGCATTCCTGCGTATGCCGTTTGGCCTTTCAGGGGCACCGGCAACATTTCAGCGATGTATGGACATTGTGTTAAGGCCTGTTCTTGGAAAGTCCACATTTATCTATTTAGACGATATCATTATTACTAGTGATAATCTGGACCAACATGTACAGGATTTAAGACAGGTGTTTTCATTATTAAATGAGGCCGGTCTAAAAGTTAATGTCGAAAAGTGCAAATTTGCAGCCCCTGAATTAAAATATTTAGGTTACAAAATATCTCAGAAAGGAATCGAGACAGACGAATCAAAAATAATCGCTGTGCAAAAGTATCCGCCGCCAAATACGGCGAAGAAGCTCTCTTCTTTTCTAGGACTTTGTTCATATTATAGGTCCTTTATAAAAGATTTTGCAGCTATTGCTGAACCATTGTTAAAATTAAAAAGGAAAAAGGCAAGATTCTCGTGGACGGCCGAAGCCAATAGTGCTTTCGAAAAATTAAAGCAAGCATTAACGCAAGCCCCTGTGTTGAAATTTCCTGAAAAGGATGAGAATTTAGAAATTTCAGCGGATGCTTCGGATTATGCGGTAGGAGCGGTACTTTCGCAAAATCAGCAGCCCGTGGCATTTTTTAGTCGAACTTTAAATCAAACACAAAAGAAATTATTCCGCGACCGAGAGAGAGGCACTTGCAGTTCTGTTAGCAGTGCAAAAGTTCCGAGTCTATTTTGGAAAGGCGCCAATAACAGTGTAT